ACCCACAGTCAGGACAAATCTTTGTCACCCGCCAGTCCCACAGCCGCTCAGACCCAACCAAGTAAACACAGAGACTTATATTGCTTACAAACTGTATGGCTGTGGCAGGCTTCTTGCTAACTGTTCTTATAGCTTAAATTAATCCATTTCCATAAATCTATACCTCGCCACGTGGCTCATGGCTTACCGGCATCTTCACATGCTGTTTGTCATGGCCGCGGCTGGCAGTGACTCCCTTTCCCTTCCTGTTCCCTTAATTCTCCTCTGTGTTAGTCCCGCCTATACTTCCTGCGTAGCCACTGGCCAATCAGTGTTTTATTTATTGACCAATCAGAGTAACTTGACATACAGACCATCCCACAGCAATAAAAATCTTTTTTTTTTTTTTTTGAGATTATAGTAACACCCTCCTATATACCCTCCCTTGCTCTTTTTCAAATTTATGGCCTCCATATCTTAAAAAAAAAAAAAAAAATCCAAGCTTGGTATGGTGGCACACCCCTTTAATACCAGCACTCAGGAAGCAGGGCCAGATCTGTGAATTTGAGGCCAGGCCTGGTCTATATAGTGAGTTCCAGGATTGCCTGGAAATTTCTGTGAAGCATAGGCTTACCTCAGACTCTGCAACTGTTTCCTCTGCTGCTGCTCAAAGGATTGTAAGTGTTTGTCACCATACCCAGCAGCAGATTTTACTTGCTTTTATTTTTAAAAGATTTATCATTTCTTTTTTTTTTTTTTTTTTTTTTTTTTGGTTTTTCGAGACAGGATTTCTCTGTAGCTTTGCGCCTTTCCTGGATCTCGCTCTGTAGACCAGGCTGGCCTCAAACTCACAGAGATCCACCTGCCTCTGCCTCCCGAGTGCTGGGATTAAAGGCCAGCACCACCACGGCCCGGCAATGATTTATCATTTCTTTGCATGTGGATGTGGGTGCCTTTGGAGACCAGAAGAGGGCAGCAGATCCCTGGAGCTGCTGGCAGTAGTGAGCTGCCTATTGATGCTGGTAACCAAATTCTAGTCCTGAAAGAGTAAGCGCAGCAGAGTGCTTTAACTGTTAAGCCACATCTCTGCTCACAGCCTCTATTTTGTTGTCAGCGTGTATCATCTCTCCAATATGGTCTGGGGCTCCTAACTCAGGTCAGGTGTGTGCCAGAAGCAGTTTTCCTGCTAAGCCATCTGCTGCTCCCAACCCGGTCTTACAGCTTCCCTGGTCTGTTGGAGGATTTAATAACATTGTCAAAGAAGTACAAACATACCACTGCTTTTTTTTTTTTTTTCGAGACAGGGTTTCCCTGTGTAGCTTTGCGCCTTTCCTGGGACTCACTTGGTAGTCCAGGCTGGCCTCGAACTCACAGAGATCCGCCTGCCTCTGCCTCCCGAGTGCTGGGATTAAAGGCGTGCGCCACCACCGCCCGGCTTCTGCTTTTTTTTTTTAATCTAAGCAGTTTTGCTTATATGACAGAATAATCTCGTTACTAAAAATCACTGTTGAGTAATTTGCCTTTTTTGTTTTTTCATTGTTATTTTAGGAGTATACATTGTTTATAATTCATGATCAGAAAAGACATCAGTCTTTGTTTCTTTTTTGGTTTTTGGGTTTGTTTGTTTGTTTTGAGATAGGGTTTCTCTGTGTAGCCCCTGGTTCTCCTGGAACTCACTCTCATTTCTCAAACCTGGAGATCCACCTGCCCCTGCTGGGATAAAAGGCGTGTGCCAACACCGCCTCACTAAGTCTTTTGTTTCTTTTTTTTTTTGAAAAAGGGTTAATGGTACTTTTTTCCCCTCCTTAGGTCACTGGCCTCAAGAGATAAATATGCATACTTTCAATATGATGTTTGTTAATTTTCATTTTGATGCAGTTTTCACGTTCTCAGGAGTTGAATGGTTTTGAAATTTTAATCAGTAATATGTCTGTTTTTATTTGTACTACAGGGTAAGAACCTTTATAAAGTTCGATGGAAAGGATATACATCTGATGATGATACCTGGGAGCCTGAGGTTCATCTGGAGGACTGTAAAGAAGTTCTTCTTGAATTTAAGAAGAAACTTGCCGAGAACAAAGCTAAGGCAATAAAGAAAGATATTCAGGTATCCAGTTTTATCTCATACTTTTTTGGTGTGATATTCATAATTTTATTTATAGAAAGTATGTATAGTAAATTATGAAAAATACAATGTCCAGTATTTGTGTTGTGAATTCCATGTTGCTGATTTGTCCTCACAGACAGCTCTTCTTTCCCGTCCTGTGATTGTATTTGGCAGACAAGTGTAGTTTGTATGTTGTGCTAGTCAGCTTACACTGTAATGAAATATCTACCATAACTTAAAGATACAGTATATTTTGCCCTACAGTTCTAGAAGCATTAGTCTACCTCTGATGAGGAGCCCCGAGGTACTTGTTTTCATAAGCCAGGAAGCACAGAAGAAACCGGGCTCCCCAGTCCTCTTTGGCATCATGTCATAAATGAACTAAAGGTTTCTTATTAGGCTTCACCTCCCTAAGAGTCTACTACCTCCCAGTAATGCCTCTCCAGGGACCAGGCCTCTAACACATGACCTTTGCAGGACATTCAACACTCAAATTACAGTAGACATGAATGTTGGCTAATAAGAGGGGGCATACTTGTGATCCCAGTACTCTGGACATTAGAAAGATTATTGAAAGTCGGAGGCCAGCTAGGGCTGCAATGTGACCCATCTCAAGGACAAAAGAGAAGGGTGTATTCAGGGGTACAGCACCTGCCCAGCATGTGCCAGGCCTTGGATTCAAGCTCCAGTGCCATGCTGAAGAGCAGGAGTGATAAACATAAAAATGAAGGAACATAAAGACATACAGACACATCATAATTTCATATTTGCCCACGATGTAAGGAACTATTCATTATATGTGGTGATTATTGCCATAATTTTTTTTACTTATTTTGTTCTAGTTCACAATATTGTTAGATTATAATACGTTACATTCATATTTAGTCTGTGTTATTAATATCTTTACCCTTTTCTGCTACTTAAATAATTCTTCCCTTTTTGTTTTTCGAGACAGGGTTTCTCTGTGTCACCCTGGCTGTCCTGGAACTCATACTGTAGACCAGGCTGGCCTTGAACTCACAGAGATCTGCCTTCCTCTGTCTCCAGAGTGCTGGGATTAAAGGCATGCAACACCACCACCCAAATAAATAATTCTTTCTTGAAACAGGCTTTCATAATGTAGCCCTGGCTGGCTTAGAACTCTACCAGGCTGGTTTGGAACTCACAGAGATAAACCTACCTCATTCTCTCAGTGCTGGGATTGAAGGTGTGCACTACCATGCCTGGCTTTGTTTTTGAAACAGGGTTTCACTCTGTATATCTGGCTGGTCTGGAACTGCAGATCAAACTGGCCTTGAACTTCTGATCCTCCTGCCTCTGTCTCTTGAGTGCTGGAATTACAGGTAGCAGCACACCTACCAAAATTAAGCAGTTTTTAGTTCCTCTGCTAGTTTTTATGGTTTTTGGCAGTGTTGGGTATTGAGCCTATATTTTGTCACTGAGTTAAACCTTCCAGCCCCAATCACTGAATTTTGTAGATGTTGTTTGTGGGCATTTGTTCTACAACCATCATTGCTCTATTATATAGAGGTTCAGGAAGATTCAGAGGATTAAGACGGTGGTGACAATGTAGGAAAACATTTTCATCCTTTCTGTTCATCTCTTTTAGTATAAGACAGTTTTTGAAAACGAGTCTTAAAATTAGCTTGCTCAAGTTTTTTGTTATTGTTTGTACAAGTATTCTTTTTTTTTTTTTTTTTTTTTTTTTTTCCCCTGAGACAGGGTTTCTTTATGTAGCCCTGGCTATCCTGGAACTCACTTTGTAGACCAGGCTGGCCTAAAACTCAGAGATCCTCCTGCCTCTGCCTCTCAAGTGCTAGGATTAAAGAAAGGCATATACCATCATACCTGGCTAAACACCTTATTTTTGAATTTCTTTTTAGATTAGAAAAACATTTCAGTAGGAACTGTTTTAAGATCTTGTAACACCATTTAATCAAGTAAGATTCCCATGTAGTTAGTGTGCTTGCTCCATTTAACTGAAATATAACAAGTTTAAGATCATTCTAGAAGGGCCAATAGCTGAACAGATGAGGGTGCTTGCTGCCACACCTGATAACCTTCACATGGTGAAAAGAAAAAGCGAAATTCCTCATGTGGTTCTCTGATCTCTGCATATATACTGTGGCATTCATGTATATGCATGCACGCTCACACAAATAAAAAGTCAGCTCTAGCCCATCATACACTAGACTGTTATTTTAACTCATGTTTCATTTTGATACCTCCAAAGCACTCCAAACATTTTTCTTCTTTCTTTCTTTCTTTCTTTCTTTCTTTCTTTCTTTCTTTCTTTCTTTCTTTCTTTCTTTCTTTCTTTCTTTCTTTCTTTCTTC